ATACCTACCTATTTGCTATTGTTATTTGTTATATTTTTATAACGAATATAATATAATATAGAGTTTGATTTTGTAAAGTTTCACTACTTACTAATGATCTGAAGTTAATTAATTTGAATTAATTTAAATCGTTTAGATTCTTTGTCACAAGTTCGTAGTTACCAACTAGTATGAAACGATTGTTTTCTTCGCGAAATGCAAAATGAAATGACACAACAAAGAAACTGCCTCTGGTAGTCTTGCAATATTAAAAATAAGCAAAACCACTTAAAACCAGGGTAGTTATAATACCAAGTATTTGGTCAAGCGTGGTTAATATTGTATATACCTAAAGCCTTTAAGGCGCATTCACAGCTACGTCGTGTGTCGTGTAGTGCGATGGCTTGGTTATTATATGGTTACGACTGTTAACCAATATGGTTTAAAAGTTGAGCTGTAGTCAATTCTTGGTATACTCGGTTGCCGCTTGGTTATTACATGATACCAAAAAATTAATATCCAATCACAGTACGATTTGATCGACACGACACGACACACGACGCAGCTGTGAATCCGGCTTTACAGGCGGGTTTCCACTATACACGTATGCGTGTACGTGCATACAAATAATTTGCTGTGATTGGTTGGTTAGGATCAGCTACCACACGATTAACCACGATACCGTGTTGTTTGACATCGCTGAACATTTTTCGTGTACATGGCAAACGTGTATAGTGGAAATCGGCCATTTTTGAACATAGTAACATTGCGCCCATAGACCTTATAAAAGATTATAATTACCAGGTCTATGGACCTTACACTCATGACCATGAACAAAGTTAACTAACTTATCTTAGTTCATGCTCATGAGTCATGACCACGACTAAAGATATATCTTTAATCGTGCTCATGACCTTGTCAATTGACCATGTCGCCATAGAATATATTCTATGATGTCGCTGTCTAGATACCCAGATGACTGGATGGCGGATACCCATCCGTGTATATTACCACAGAACAATATTGATATTACCTATATTCAATACCCGACTAGTTAATGCGCATGCGCCTTAGACACCATAATATTATTTCATATTTATACGCACGTACCACGAATTAAGATAATATAAGTAGGTACGTATTAAAATATATATTTGTGCATAATCGACCAAAAATTGAAATAGGTAGGTAGGTACTTCGTCAAAGAAAACAGATGAGTACTTTAAAGTTCCACAAATAATACGGTGTAAAATGCTAAATAAAATTAACATAAACATGAAAATAGGTTCAGTTAATTTATAAGGTAAAAAAAAAAATTTTAATTGTTTGAATGTTTATTCTATAAATACTTTTTTCAAAGTATTTGTATTTATAGTCTAAATTCATTTTTTACCGAGTATTTAAATACTTTTTAAAATAAGTATAATATGTATCTGTACTTGAATACTTTTAAAAAGTATCTTTTACAGCAGTTATACGCAAGACTGAAAATTAATGGTATTAATTTCTATATTCTGAACACAGTTTCACTGCTGACCATAAAAATCTTATGCAACTGCTCTGTGCTGACTGTATTTCATAAATTATTTAATTGGTATTCCATCCTTATAGATCTATACTCACTGAATCTGAAAAATATTTTTAAAAAAAATTGGACCAAAACTTACCAAGTTATAGGTAGCTAACTTTATAACTCTTAGCCGGTGGTTCCCAAAATGTACTCCGCTAATTAAGTAAAAGCACAAAATCAATGAAACATTATATTTTTTAATTTTTTCAAGTCTTTTTTTTTTTTTTTTATTGTTTATTTAAATATACACAATCTGTAAATGTTGTTTTACAATATTATGTGCATGTGATGGAGGTGATATGGCTTGAGTGGCTAGAGATAAGAAGCCGCCCATTGGAGGCACTTAAGGTTAGGATTTTAGGCTAGGATTATAATTTGCTAGTAAGAGAGGGCAGGATTATAAGATTAGGGGAGGTAGAGGTATGAACAATTTTTCAAGTCTTAGATTTTTTTTAAATACATTTTAAATATTTTAAAAAGCAATTTACATATTATATCTTGTATAAAAAGTCATAATAAACAATATTTAACAATTAAAAATTAAAAATTATATTATACACACTCATAAATTATAAAATACTAATAGTATAAAACCAACGGTAAATATTTTTTTATAATAACAAATTTAATATAATAATTGAGTAGCTTTGTAATTGGTTTTTGTATGGTAAATACCAAAACAAGGTGTTACACATAATCCTACATCACATAAATCACACATATATAATGTGTCTTTTCTTTTATTATTTTTAGAGCATACAATACATTTTCTTCGGTTAGCCTTACCAATTTCATTTCTTGGCACATCTGTTGGGTAATGACGGGCTGTAAGTCGAGTTGGCTCATCCTTTGTATTTGATCTTCCTCTATTAGAACTATTATTATATTTTCCATATTTATCCAACAGCTGTCTAATAACTTCTAGTTGAAAATTTGCATATATAAGTATACAGTAATTCAGTTATTATTTAATAAAAAAAAAAAATACATAAATATTGTACATTTGTAAGTCGTAGACAATACATGTGACGTCCTCTTAATATTCTTTTTATTCATGAAAACACAGTGTCAATTAAAGTTCTGCGTTTTATGTTCCCAGTTTGGGGAACAAGAAAGACAGGAACTTGTTCACGCAAATCATAAATTGAGAGAGTTTCGTCTACAGGTAGAGGATCATTTGATTTGATAAGCATATTATGCAATACTGCTGTAGCTATAATAGTTACAAGAGTGGTTGGGATTTGAGTTCGAATTCCAACAGATAGCACAGGAAACCGCCTTTTCCAAACACCAAATGTTCTTTCGATGACATTTCTTGTGCCGATTTGTGCTTTCTAAAAATATGATAACATATAATATGATATATATATATACATATGATAACATCTTATTGCCAGTCTTGTTAAGAATACTTTTCAAATATATTCAGAATAGTTATTTAAATACTTGGTGTACTTTGTGTTTAAAATACTTATTCAAATACTTTCTTTTAAAACCTAATTTATAAATTCTCAGAAGTTAGAACCATTTTAAAATCATATTTTAGAAACAAAATTTAAATAGTGCATTCCGAAATATTGGTAATTAGAATTTGGAGTAGAATAGAAAGAAAAAAGTATTTAGCATAGTAAAAATAGATATAAAAAGTATTTTATGAAATTATCATATGGTTTTCTTACTTGATATTGTACTTCTGCTTCAGTAGTAGGGTTGGAAAGAGGTGTCATCATATAATTACGACATGCATAACCTCCATCTCCCACAAGTACAGCACCTCCAAATTCATTATTCTCCAATTGAGCTCTTAATAAAGAATTATCAAATATTGTTGAATCGTGGACTGAACCAGGCCATCTAATAATGTTTGTATATCAATAATAATTAATAAATGACAAGTTTTTTGCATTAAATTATCACTAACCGAGCCACAATATTTGTGAACTGTAAATTACTGTTGCATACGGCTTGGACATTAATAGAAAAATAGCCTTTCCTGTTGCGGAATCTTTCTCCAATATTTTTATTGGGTGATTGGATTCTGATATGTGTACAATCTATTGCTCCAATAACTTTAGGAAATTGGCGCATTTTATAGAAATTTTCATAGACTATTTTTCTATCGGCTTCTGTTTTTGGCATTTGAATGTAATTTGGTTTAAGTGACGCTATACATGTAGACACTTGTTTTATGATATGACACACTGTTGATTTGTGGATTCGTATATGGTCTCCCAGAACTGCCTAAAATTTGACATATATATTTTTATGTATACAATAGTTAAAAATGCTTCATCGGGGGCATACATAAAAATCTAAAATATTCACCTGAAAAGCACCAGTTGCATAATATCTAAGTGTAATCAGAAGCTGCAATATTGGTGAAAATGACATATTGTGTTGTATATTTTGACATAAATGATCTTGAACCATGTCCAGTAATTCAATCAACATTGTTTTAGACAACCTGATAAACATTAGTCGAGTATGAAGTTCTTGAAAATAGAGACATTTATGTGTGTTTACCCATTTGTACAGTCTTGTAGAGTATTCAAATAAAACTATCTGAACACCTTAATTCTAAATTATTCAAATACAAAATAAAAGCATTCTGTAGAAGACTGCATTTTTAGATCAAATATCCGGTCTAAATGGAGGGCATTGCCATCTATTATATGGGAAAATAATAAAAACAAATATTTTATAAGTACCTAAATCGCTGCTTAAAATCTATATCATCATATTCTGTAAATGGATTGGATCTATCACGAAAAAAACGTGGTCTCGGTAACACATGAAGCACCTCAATAACAAAATCATCATCACTCGTTGAATCAGAATCAGATGAAGACATATTTCATGAGTGTTATAGTAAAAACTAAAAAGTAAAAGAACAATATATTTTTTGAATGTGTATTTTATTAATACTAATAATATATTTAATATTATAATAAAAAAAATGTGGCCGATAAGAAATTTTAATATTTTAATATTTCTTATCACCATATTTAACGGATCGTTAAAAGTTAACGAACCAAAATCGGACCTGTAGTTTACAGGTCCAATAGCCGATAATTTACAGACCCGTTAACAGTCGTTCAAGCAACACCCAATTTTTTTTAACGGATCGTTAGTGCGACAGTGCGTTAACGGCTCTGTAAATCGCTTATGAACCTTTTTAATAGGTCTATGGAGTATGGTCGTCTATGGTCTTTAATCGTATCTTAAATCGTGGTTGGAAAATTATTTTTTGATATTATATGATAACAAAAGTTGATAAGAATTCAGAAACTGCCGCACTGCCCGCTGACCACTGTGGTTCACTGTGGCTGTCATGCTTGTAGTTTGTAACATTCTACTTTCTAGTTTCCTTGCAGGTATTAAATGTTTATTTGAGATTTCGTTTTATGTTTTAAATTTAAAAGTTGAAATCAAAAAGAAAATTGTTTCAATTATGACTAATAATCCAGTTATTGATTTATTTGACGATCCAAATAAAAAGTTTGTTAAAATATGTGCACCAATGGTTCGTTATAGCAGGTAAGTGTTCAACATAGAAATTTGTTATAAACATTGTGTTATAACTTGCAAGCTTAAAATAGTTTAATGTAAATGCATTTTTAACATTAATATCATATTAAAAATGATTAAATAGTTTCTTATTTTTTTAGACTACAATTCCGGAAATTGGTTCGTATGTATGAATGTGATTTATGTTTCACACCAATGATAATGGCCGATTGTTATGTTAAGTCAGCTAAGGCTAGGGCACATGAATTCCAAACTGATACAGGTTTGTTTAAAAATGTTTGTCAAGTTCAATTCAAATTCTTATTTATATAATTATTTTTTTTTCTATTTAGATGATAGACCTCTTATTGTACAATTTGGTGCCAATAATTCATCTGATTTTGTAAATGCTTCTAATTTGATCATTCCGTAAGCCTTACATATATTATGTTTTTTAAATTAATTTAAATATTTTTATTTGATTTAGATATTGTGATGGAGTTGATCTTAATTGTGGCTGTCCACAAAGATGGGCTTTAAATGAAGGATACGGAGCACAGTTACTGAAAAATCCAGAAATTATCAAAGACTGTGTTCGTCAATTACGCAATCACTTACCAACTAACAAGACTATATCAGTTAAATTAAGATTACTCGATGATCATAGGCAGGTATAAGACAAATAACTCGATCTAATAATATTGAATAATAGGTAATAGGTATATATTTAAAATATTAGCTACGGATATACACCCGAACCATGATAGTCGGGATTATAATAGGTATCCGACCACGGTCGGGCTGATAATGTATACCCTACCATATTGTTATCAAATGCGTATGAGTGTAGGCTATGGGATTAATATTATGTAGTAGGTACTTGAATTAGGTATATTAAGTTGTAGCATCTGTTATGGTTACTAAATGCATAGTGACGTGTATTTGATTAAATTATTTTTATTTTGTATGTAATCATGATTTATTTTTAGTGGGCAGAGATTGCAACTCTTGGTTTTTTAGTCAATGAACTTTGCCCATATTCAATAGGGAAATAACCTGCAAAAAAATAGGCATTTCTCCAGATGCACAGGATATGAGTAAAAATGAATTGAACAATTTTGTACTGCAAAGCAGAAAGTGAATACTACAATATCTATACCATTTTAAATTCCACATCAGGTGAAAAATTGGATCTTTTCTACTTCAAGCCCTTTTTTTTGGGATTTTTTGTAGTAGAAATATATTGAAAAATTATTTTATAAAAAATAGGCATGATACTCGGGAAGAACGGGTTACTGGTTTGACATTAAATAGTGGTAACTTTTTGAATTCTTCTAATAACAAGCTGAAAAGTTTCAGTTAAAAATTAAAATCAGTAATACCTACCTTTTCAGAACCTTTTGCAATTCTTCAAAAACCTATTTGTTTTTATTAAGTATGTTTTGTTCAGAGATGGATAGTAAGACAATTAGCATAATACAAAAATGGCTAGCAAAACAATTTGAAAACACTGATGAATATGAGTATTCCATGATATGACGCCATAGGCGTTTAATTATTTAAAAAGTAGTTTGTCAAAAATGTTCATGTGGTTAGTAATATTGTAGCCTGGAGATTTATATTTCCTGTTACCATTAATCCCATAGTTTATAGTTTATAAGTCCACACGCGTGCGCATTTGATAACAATTTGTTTAACACATGTGTATGCATTACGATATTCGGCTTCAACCGAGTACATTATTACCACCCGGTGGAAGGCCATTTTAAATAACACTTGAACTTATTTGAAACAAACTGTTTTTCATGCTAAAAAGACCTATTTTCATTCCAACCTGGGTACTGTTTACTGTTTAATCTAATTACTCAATATGAATTTTTTTAATCAAGTTAAGATTCCTCTTCTTGTCTTTATAAAGATCCTAATAACAATTATCAAACAAAATTTTCCTTAAAAATATTGTTTACATGTTTGTAAATATAACAACTAATTATACATTTTCAAATAAACAAATAGAAAAAGTGGTTCGTACAATCTAAAGTAAACATATTAAGACATTCAAATCTGTTTTTATTGTCAAAATACATAAAACATTTAACATAATACCTTAGGCTTGAAAGTGTATTACAAGTTTCGCTATAAGATTCTCTCTTGCTCATTTTAATAAATTATGGGTGCTCACATACAGTTGGCAGTTATTTGATATCCCAAAAAACCAACAAGTGGAAATTGACCTAGATTCATGTATTACATATCTAAATCTATTTTTTTTTCAGAAAGAGTGTAGATCTTTGCCAACAAATTGAAGCTACTGGTGTGTCTTTTATTACGGTTCATGGACGAACAGCTCTTCAAAAGAATGAACCTATTGATCAAGAATGCTTGAAACTTATTAACGAATCTGTTAGTGTTCCAGTAATTTTAAATGGTGATATCAAAAGTTTATCGGATGCTATCACAATGCAAGAATATACTGGTTGTAGAGGTAATAAAATAATTGCAATAATGTTACTTATTTCTTAATGTGTAAATGTAATATGTATTTATTTGTATGTTTTAGGCATGATGAGTGCAAGAGGCATTTTACACAACCCTGGCTTGTTTGCTGGCTATCAAAATACACCACTCTCGGCTGTTCAAGATTGGTTAAATATCAAACATACTAATTTCTTGTGGTTTCATCATCATTTAGTATTTATGTGTGAACGTCTACTTCCTAAAACTGCAAGAAAAACTTTCAATCAATTACGCACAGCATCAGATGTAGTATCATTTTTAGAAGATCAATTACATATATCAAATGTACTTCCCAGTAATAGGATATTAGGGAAGGAACTTGGTGGAACTAGTGGTGCATATTATGAAAATATAGCTGTCGAAGACACAGTTTCTTCTCAGCCTGAAGATATTGTTGACAGTATAATCAATTTATTTGATTGAATATATTATATTAATCTTATACATATTATTTAACAGTTATTATATTAAACAAAATATATATTTTGTATTGTATGTTTATAATAAAAAATAAAATTTTTATTTTAGAATAATTTAATAGGTTTCCTAAAAATTTATAAAAAAATTTTTTGGTTACAAGTGAAAACTGAAAATTAAAAGCATGACATTGTATTGCTGTTATAGTAGTAGCATTGTTCTAAAAATTCTAAGAAAATAGTGTGAAATTTTACTCTATTAATATCAGTGTTATTATTGAAAAAAATAAATCTGTTTTACTAATAAATGTATAAAATATTAATTTAATTTCACTTAACATGTATGTATAGCCGATACTATAAATACTCGATACATGGCCTCGGAGTATCGCGACTAGGGTAGTTCATATTTATAGGGACATTCTTTTTTTTTTAATTAGGTATTAAATATTAATGATCGATCCCTCCAAAAAAGTTTCAATACGTGTAAAAAAAATGTATACAGAATTTGAGCACAATACGTTAAGATTTAGCCGTGCTTCAAGGCCCATAAACTTAGTAATTAACTTAGTATTTTTTACTTACCTTTACCCGATACTCGATACATTTGAATAAAATTAGCATTTGCTCAGAATCGTCTTACGTGTACAATGATTTTATATCATTGAATTCAAATTTAACACCATCCATTAGAATGACAGACATGTAAGTTGTAACCTACTGTAGGGATGCCATACGTCCCGTATTATACGGGAACGTCCCGTAATTCATGACAGTGTCCCGGTGTCCCCGTAACAGATCCAATATCGTAAAAATGTCCCGTATTATGAAATTCTCGTCCCGTATGTCCCATAAAAATAGAATACATTATTGTTTAATATTTGCATATATATTATATTCAAAATGTGTTTTCAAATGTCGAGACAAAAATATTTTTAACCACTGATTGACTGATAACATATTATTAACATAAATGTTTCTGGTCTATGCGTTCCTATCACTCACGATTAAAGATAGTAGTACTTTAATCTTGTATTTAAATTTAAATTTTAAATACCCTTAATTGTTTTTTCTCAAATAATCGATTACGAATTGTTTTCATTAAATGAGGTGGATCAGAAAATACAAATATCTTGCGAGATGAGTCAAATGGATTCTCAAAATAGTTCTTAAAATCTTCCTCACTAGTACTTATTCCCAGTAGCTTCCACATTGTACGATTTGTCGTAGCTCCATCATTTGTTAAACCAACTACTTTACCACCAATATTTTCTAACAATAATATAGATTTAGTAACTAATTTTGCCAGATCAGCACCTATAAAATCAAAATAAATCATGTATTATATTAATTAATATTTATTTTTTTGTAAATTATTGATACCATACCTTTGACTGAACCTTTGGAAGCAAATACTGCTATAGGCTGAGTAAAGTTGTCGGCTAGGCTTCTCCACATCAGCACTAAACCGTGGTTTGCTTTTTCAGAACTGGTAGTTTTGTGATTTATTTCATTCCCAAAATCTTCCAATCCAGTATATGTTAATGTTCTAGTATTAACATTTATACTTTCTCTTAGAAAAATTTCATCTAAAGAAAGTATTCCAACTTTCTGAGTATCAGACTTCTTTGCAAAATTTTTTTTCAACAGTTTAAAAAAGTTAGGATCAAATCCGCAACCAACTTTAACAGCTAAAAGGTTTTTTCTTATAGTGTTAACGCATGGCAAAGGTAATATTTTTTGGTCTCTCAAAAACCTGTATCCACTTGGTGACCTAATTAAAATTAAATAAAAATGTCTTCAGCTTACTAACTGTGTGGCAAAAAGATTTATTAACTATATACAAAATAGTACTTATTATTACAAACCTGATTTGAAATAAGAGACATAGAAGCATCCAATTTTCATTATATTTCCTATTTTTAGCATTTTTCAATCTTGCTGCTGAGAATATTTCATGAATTAGTTCTGATTGACACTTAGAAATTCCAGCATTTACCAATATTTCTGAAAGGTTTGAATCATTAATTTTTTTCATTTCATTTTTACATTTAATCAAGTTTTTCTGTAATTTATTTATTTTTTTTTTTGCCCTGCAACACTTCACTAATAATATTTTTTTGGCTTTTTGAATATTATTTAGTACTCTTTTTTTGTTGGGAGAAAAAAAAGTTCTTGTCAATTTTCCATTTGAATTCCGTGCTGCCTTCTTTTTAATACAGAACAGAAGCCGCTTGCACCATACACACATTTCACTAAACCAATTATATAACATAAGCTTTGGTTATATTTGACATTTTGATAAATATTTTATGATAGATTACTATAGGTAGGCTGATATTTATAAAATTTAGTATTTTTAAATTAAAATTACCTCTCATTTTCTTGTAAGACGTTTAAGCAGTTAATATGATGCCATTGACCACAGTTATCTACATACTGTTTGTTTCCGGACACTACATTTATATTTGATAACTCATTGGAGGATATTGCTCCAGTACAAATTTTTATTTGATCAAATTTACTGATGGTATTTTCAAGATCTTGTGAAGAGTTAAGTAAATTATTAGAAGATATCCCAATGTCAGATAACGTAACTTGTTTACCATAAATAAATAATATAATAGTCAAATCTATAAAATAATTAAAATTATATTATTTATTAAAATGTCTGAAGAATGTATATTATTTTACCTTCGATTAACACAAGTTGTTTTTCAATAAACTTCACATAATTTTTTGAAAAAGAGCTTAGTTTTTGAAACGAAATTGCTTTTTTAATAGTAGTACTATGATTATCAGACATATCCATATCAATAAACCATTTTAGTGGTACTTTAACTCGGTCATTTAAAACAGTATAAAAAAGTGATGTGCTTTGTAGCCCAGGTGCTATATTGCCAGTGTTGCAACTATCAAGCTGGAAATAAAAATAATATACCATTAATTAGTTAACAAAAAAGTTACCAAATTATTTATATAAATTATAAAACATATACTTTCATTTTTTTCTTTGCTGGAGAAACTGAACTATAACAATGGTCATGTTTTATGCTGAAGTCCTTATAGCTTATGATCTACAACAATTATAACAAAAATCACTAGTATATTAATTTTTTATTCAAAAGCAATATAATATTATTACTGATAATTTATTATGTTCAGATTCGTCCAATATTAAGTTGTTGTTTGCTAGGAAAGGAATGGCACCTTGTCGTAGTTTTGGTATTTTCATACAAATCTATAATTTACGTTTAAGATATAAAAACAATGTTTACTTACATAATATATAGTATATACTAACATATTATATACTTACAGAATATTTTGAAAGCCCTTGTCCTGAAACCCAAGTTCTAATTATATCAGTTTCATGAAAATGTGCAGCACACACTCGAAACTTGCTTTTAAGAAAAATACCAAGAATGTTTTCCCATTGCTTCTTTAATACTTCATTTTTTGGCACACCAAAAGTAGATTTTTCCTTACCAGCAGTACAATTAGGGACACAGCACTTCATTTTGATGATATGTGACTACCGGGATTGAAGATAGTATACACTATAATGTAGAATAAATACTTTAAACCAAACTTTACAATTACAATTACGTAGGTAGTAGGTACCATGTAATCACGAATGTAAAAATCGTTGAAAAAATCGTATTTTTAATCGTGTATGTACTATTTTGCATTTTCGCGGGAAAATAATGTGCATATTATTAAAGAAGAATCTTGATTTCTGATGCGTAGTACATAATTTATACCCTATGAGCGCTAGTAAAAGTTTCTAGAGTATCGTTGATAATAAAAGAAACTATGAGCATCATTAAATTGTTTCTTATCATAGTTCGTTGTGCAACCATTCTATCTTTAATCGTGCTATCACTTAAACTCTTGGCCATTGTAATTCGCAGTGGCTATTTTCACGTCCAACGCAGAAGTCTTTTCGGAAGGCGAAGCGAAACCAAAAGAAAGACCACGAGTTGGCAATCACTAATAAACCCCGGACTAAGATAAAATCATAGATAATGGATATTGGATAGGAAATTCGACTACAAAGCACATGCCAAAAGAGTACCAAGTTAAAACAAAATGGTAACTGGTATGATTGGTTACTATTAGTGATAGACGATAGTACCACAGAACGATAGTACCCATTGGGCATTGATAAAACGTCCAGTGTTACCTACTTATCTGTTATAGTTTAGTTATTATTGTATTATTGTAGTATTTAATTGTCAATTAATAAGCATTAAAAATCCATTAAAAATAATGGATATAGCCGGATTTACACGATGATAGTAAAACGCGATAGTTGCTATCGTGATAGCTTCTCTCGTGAGAGTGTCATCGTGTAAACGTAATTATCGTAACTATCGAACTATTGCGATAGTGCTATCACACTATCAAGCATGCATGATAGTTGGTAGTTCTATCGTGATAGTCCTATCGTTCTATCAGGGTGAGCCCAATTGACTGAACTGAATGACTGAATGGACTGAATGGACGAGTTCAACAGTGGTGCCAACGATAAAATTCAAGTCCCATCCCATATAATTTCTTATCACGGGTCCTAGTTCTTATCATGGAACTGAACTGTCCCCATAACCAACTGGTTGGTAACTACCATGGTCGTAACCACGAATTAAAGATACTACTGCATATTATGTTGCCGATGTATTTCTTAAAAGGGTTAGTTAATCTAAAACCGACCAACCCACTTCATGTTTCCACCGTGTCAAGATAAGTAGCACTTTTCGGTTACTGAGTTACTCTGATACGGTTTAAAATATGTTTATAATATTCATATTTCATACTATATATTTATACTAAACGGGCTGCATCACTGCGCTATGTATAAAATCATGGAAATAAATACCTACCGCAAAATATAATAAATAGATTAACCTGTAGGTATCTCATCCACAAACAGACGACCACAAAAGTTCTGAATAGATAGTACATACCTAATATTATAATATACATCTGTCATTTACTAATTAACTATACGTTTATACCTATTGTCCAGCGTTAGTAGATTTAAAGACATGTCATATTATAATATTATAACAAAATACATTTAGTCATAATCATTTTCGAGACGTATACACATCATAAGCTTTGATGATTGAAATTTAAAGTTCGTCAATTATATAAACAATTTTTCATGGTTAACACTCTTAATGAGATTTACTATCGATGTGATTATATATTTATATGAATAGGTAACTACCTACTTCTAGGAAAACTTCTGGCATAGAAAGTTGTATGTTGCTGGCGTAATTACCAAATGTGAACTAACGTATAAATATGTAATAGTTTTAAAGTCCAATAAATCATTTATAGGTTGTAGATGACGTTCACATAAGATAATATCATACTTTTAAGTTCCCAAACGTTTCGGTTTAGGCCCTTCTAAAACGTACTCCCGGAGCCGGGGGTCCTCGAACACCCCCCTAGGTGTATTTTGGAAAAGGTTTAGTTTTTGTATGACGTTTCTGAAACTCAAGATTTGTATAGTTTGTAGGTCGGTGATCAAATTCGGCGTCTTGTGTCGAGCCCATAGGAGCCGTTTTTCTCCGTCTTTTGGGGCTTCAAAAGCTCAAAATTTGCATTTTTCGGAGTTTTCGTTGCTGACACTTAGATTTTGGGCGTTCCGAGCCGTTTTTGTAGTCGGGCATTATAGAGCACTTTACGCCTGAACGATTGGCACCGAGATTGAAGTGATCCGACTTTTTGTTCGGGAGTTATGATTTTTAAAGTGTTTTTTGTACTTAGTAAATAACGTATTTACGTGTTTTTTAGATTTTTTTTTTCGTTTGATCACTACAAAATTCTAGAATCTGATCATTCGGCATACGAGGATTCAAAAAACCTCTATGGTCAAAATACGTACGACCATTATTTCGCCCGAAATCGTAGTAGCAAAAAGTTAGAAAACAAATTATGCTATTTTTCGTATTATCAAGGCGTCTCCTTGTGGTATACGTCTGTGTAACGTATCAAGTAATAATTATATTGAACTTTTTTTCACACTTATTTTAGTAGGCGTGTAGCTCATTATTCATTAATGTAAATCGATAGGTATATAAGAATAAAATATTAAAACCTATAAAATAATAGGTCAATTCACTCTAATATATGTATTTGAGCTAACAACACAAAATTGGATGTATATTTTGAAGTACTAGCTCCTTCAAAATAAGTCGTATCGTTATGAAACCTTCAAGGATCGAAGCAGACAACCCTCGAGATCAAATTTATTGTCTCAAAAAAGCCGCGACTCGATTTTAAGTTTGAGAAATTGGCAAAAGAAAATTTCCCGCCAATTTTATTTTTGAAAAAATCAAATTTTGAACTCAACGTTTACCCCCTTAATATTTGAGTTTCAATACTTTTAAAAACTGGGAACTGGTGTAGGGCCGCTTCTGCTTCGATCCTCGAAGGTCTTAGGTAGATAGAATTAATATTAAATGATTTGGTTTTTTTAAAATCGTAATATATCGAAAAAACCTAAAAAGTCTAATATTGGTCGTAACGTCTTGAAATCCTCAAGGTTCAACGCAGTGACACCTCTAAATCAAATATACGTTCTCAAAAAAACCGAGTCTCGATTCTAAGTTTGAGAAATCGGCAAAACAAAATTACCCGCCAATTTTTTTTTTTTAAATTCAAATTTCGAAAACTTCGTTAACCACCCATATATAATTGAGTGAAAAATTATTTTTTGAGCTGGGAAGTCTAGGGTCACATCTTCTTCGACCCTCGAAGGTTTTATAAAGAAAGGAAGATTTAAGAATTTCCAAAATCATAATAAACCTGAGAGCAAAATCCCATATTTTAGACCAAAAACCAGCCTGCACAACTATGAAAGCCTATATGTTAAACAATTTTGCTAGAGTACAACATTTTTATATATTCAATGGTTTACGAAATTACGAGGGTATCGCAATAATATGAAATTGCAGTAAAATTGCCTGTACAGAACACTTTTTAAACTATGTCTATATACCTAAATGTTTTAATCAAAAGTAAAGAATATAATAAAATACATATAATGTATAATGTATTCATTATTCTAAGTCTTTTCCATAGTAAAAAGTGTTCCTTTTTTAAATTCGTTCCTTAACTTAACAAGTTTAAATATTTTTTTTTCTTTAGTAAATTATCTATTTTTTATAAATATTAATAATGCATACAATTAGCATATATAAACCTATTTGCTTATTCACAGAATAAAACAGTAATATTTCCATGCCATACCTTAATGTACTAGCAAGTAGCAACATCATAGGAATGATTAGTTTTTACAACTTTTAGTTGATTTCTTGATGGATACAAAAAGTGTGTTGCTACCTACATAATAATACATTTTTGTCAAAACAAATAGGTGATACATTAATCATTATAATATGTACAATGAACATAAATTAAATAGCACAAAAGCCAAACTTGTGGGGGGGGGGGGGGGGGGGGAGAGCGGTTCTTATATAGCATAAGTAATAGTATATAGTAAATATTATATTTGCTTCATAATATAAAGTATCTATTGTTTGTTCAGATAATAAAATCGAAGTATCATCAGCAAAGCTGATAAGTTCATAGGAATTTTTAAGAGATCATTAATAAATATTATGAATAATACAACTGTGTCTTGTGGTACCTACACCACAAGATACTTTTTGTATTTCACTATACTGATCATTGAGTTTGACTCTTTGAGTTCTACCATTTAGGAAGGAAATCAGTAATCTATTTGGTATACCACGAATACCTGCATGTTCTAATTTATTAATCAATAGTTTATGAACAACACAATCAAAAGCTCTCTGAACATCTAAAAAAATGCCTATTACCTTATTATTATTGTCAATATTTTTTCTAGCAATGTTGTAAACTTTCAAAAGTGCACTTATAGTAGAATATCCACATAAGATACATAAGATGTTTTCTACTTCTAAATAGTAGAATGCATACTGCATAGTAGCATCCTAGTACCTGAATCAGTTGTATTCTTGTTGAGTATAATTTTATATTGTATAAGAAGTAACATCATGTTGTGCAATAGTAACATCGTTGTAAACCACACCATATGTGTAACAAGGTAAATTGGTCACTTGTATATAAAGCCGACTTTTAGCATACTATAGAAACTACAGTATGATATTACTTATTACTAAAAACAGTGTAGTCACTTTTGTCTAGATCGATCTACAAACATAAGCCTTAACTCAAATTCTGCATACCAAATTTTTTAGTAACATTATTATACATACATAATTGGTATCTCAAATTCTTAAAATCCATTTAACTGTTTAATAGAATTTATGCATTTCAATTAAATAACTAGATTTCATACTTCCAAACATCAATAACATAAAAGTAGTAATTTAAAGTTATACTCTAGTGTTGTCTAACATCCAAGGAATTTATAATGTTATAAACTCATATTAATAAACACAAAAATGTAATTCATATAACTGCAATATTTATTAACACTCATAAATTAAAGAGACAATATGCACATAATTATAACAAGAGTACTCATGCAGTTACCGCTATGGGACGGTCTACATGATCGATAGGGTAACGCATTCACACTGCACTGGCTGTATATTGGTGTCTATTGCTCTCCCTACCCACCATTTTCAATCACAGTGCTGACACCTTCCACACTTATAATTAATATATATAACAATAAGTAAGAATAAATATAATATTTAGATTATAATTTTTATTAATTTAAAATTTAACAATATAAGCTTGTTGATTAAATACATTGTGGCTATTTAATAAGTTCTAAGTACGTAGTGGACTTTTAGTCATTTTATTAAAAAAAAATAACAAAATGTCAAGGATATGGTCCAATTTGACCAAAAACATAACCATCATTGAGGTGGCCAGTTCTCCTCAAGAATGCCAAAATGTCATTATCTCTATTGAGTTGCTGAACATTTTCTCTGATGATTCTTGTTGTGTTTTCTCTTTGTGCTCTTGAGCGCATATCTCTGATCTGTTGGATTAAATAAATTATTTAATTTGTTAATTAAATGCCATACACATTTTAAGAAAATTACTTGTAAATTTCTTTGCCGTTGTCCAAATTCTACAAAAAATTGATTTTCAATTATAACCAACCTTTCTGTAAATAACAAAGATGAACACATGACATTAGTATGCAATAAATTGCAAATTATAATAAAATGTTTCACAGAAACAAATCAACACTAGCTAATCAAGACATTAAGCAGAACACCTAGTATTAATATAGCGATTAATACCAATGGACAATGGTAGACAAATTAAGGAAAATAATTAACTTAAGTCAAGTTAAGAAAACACAAGATTGATAAGTTAACAATTAACTAACCATACATTTAACTTGATAAGTAAGTTATTATGGAAAAAAATGTTAACTTAACTTTAAATGTAGATTGTCTACCTTTGATCAATAACATTATTGAAGTGTTCAACATAAATACAATACATCAGTAAATATTAGTTGCATGCAATACTAATAATTATATCAACAATATTTATCAACAATATTCTCATGGACAAAGTACTCACAAAGTGTAATATAAGCATACAAAATCAGTTATAGCCTTATAGGTAGTGAAATAAGTAGTTTTCAAAAAATGAAAATAATAATAATAATGATGTATTTCAAATACATGAATAACTTATCTTTACTTTTCCCAGGACGTTGATTAATCTATAAATACAGCACAAACATAGAACAAATTTCAATATAATAATATTGATGTATTTCAAATACATGAATAACTTATCTTTTTTTATTGCATGTCGTTGATTAATCTGTAAATATAACACAAACATAGAACACATAAACATAAAAACATTTAGAACAAGCATGTAACATAGAGATCATTCATTAGGAACTACTTCAATAACTCACGTAGGAAATCCCAAATGTTAGGGTGGGTACCCATTTGCTTGAGTAAAGTTGAATGGAACGATTCTAAATTATTGTTTGTACGGTGATCTTCTCCAAAGACACTAAATTTTTCTGGTCCAATTTGGTTAATCCAAAAACCAAGGATGTAATTATCCAAAAAATGTTCTTCAATGACTTGGATTTCAGGAAATTGTCTGGCATACTGTACTATGACATTGTATCCATCTAACACACAAATATTTGGACACAGTGGATTGTTTCTTGTGGCAGGCAAGTGAGGAAGAGCTAAGACCTGATAAAAAATGTATTAGACTAAGACATGTTAAATTTAATATATAAATTTAAAAAAATCACCATTCTAAGAATCCTAGCTGCTTCTTCATGCGTTCGGATTAAATTTAGTACATTGTTCAATTTTCTATGGCAGTATCGCACGATAGACTGGGTAAAGTGAAACCAACAACAAACTAATCTGCTTGTTGGAAAAATGTGTTCAACTGCATTCATCAGTGCTTTTTCATAATCGGTCACAAACCGAACTCTGTCGTAATTTAAAGGTAACATTTGTCTGATAATACTGAGTACACCACAGTATGTCTCTTCAGTCATACTCCCTAAAAGTACATACACCATTGGAAATGCCTAAAACAGAAAAAAATAATGTCGAAATAATATATACTGACAACAGTGATATTTAATATGTACTTACAACACTATTGAATACTATTTGAAATGTCAGCAGACATTTCAAGTCGGTTGGGTGACTAGGTACAGTTTTGAATGTTTCATCAATGCCAACCAAAGTCACAGTGTTCAAATCTTCTCTGTACAGTTCTATTGCAGAAATTATCCACTAAACCATTAGATTATATTCTGCATGTAGAGTAGAAATATTATCAATTTGCAACTCAATCGTTCGCCATGTAGGGAATTCCGAATTTATAATGTCATCTGAAAAAATATAGTTTAAAACGAATACAAAATAGCAATAAAATAAATGATTAAAACACCATTAACAATAATATTATTCTTGAATAGAAATTCTGTGGTTTTATGTAAAATTAACCAAAGAAAGTCCATTATATTGTGAAGACTGCAGGGTCATATATTTTTTATTTTTATTTCTTCATCAAGTGCAAATCGAATATATTGGAAACCGATATCTCATACCTATAACATATTCATAGTTCAGTGATCGTTACTATGTCATTAAATTATCATTAATCGTCATAAGTTAAAAACAAAAATTATTTGTACACGTTAATTAATTAATAACTATCAATTATTGTAATTTTTACCTTTAGATACATTAGTTCTCTCTTTATATAAAATGCAAATATAGGAGATTATCACCTTAAAGAAGAATATCAAAATAAAGTATATGAATTAAACATTCCTACTTCAACTATTACTGAAGATATTTCAGAAATTGTAAAGAATATTAAATCTAATATAATTGAAACAAAATCAATTATTGAAAAAAAACCTACCTATAGAATGGCACAAATTTCAGTGGCTAATTATGTGTTAGAAAATAAGTTGATTGATTTCTCACCTCATTTGTAGGTACACATCGTACGTAATGCGTTTTCTAATAGGACACATGTCGTGAGCAAAATTGGGAAGAAATTTCAATGCACATGCAGTAGTAAAAGTACAGGAGAGTGTTACCATGTATAGACCCAGTCATTGGAAGCTGATAAATTAATTTTAGAATCATCAAATAAAAGAAAATATTTGGATAAACCTACATCAAAGTCAACAGTTAAGAATTAAGATACTAATTAATAACTATCAATATTCAATTATTGTAATTTTTAATTAGTCACTAATTTAATAATTTAATAATTTTTATCAGTAGTGATTAATGATTATAACTAACAATGATAAGTGATAACTAATAATATTTTAAAATATGTTGATAATCCCTTTTTTATTTTCACCGATATTATTTTCTTGTCGGCACCACTGAGAAGAACTCGTCCATTCAGCCATTCAGTCATTCAGTTCAGTCAATTAGGCTCACCCACATTAGAGGCCTAATAAATAAACACCTAACCTCTAATGTTCATGGTCCGTGGTCTTG